CGTGGGCCGCGGGCGGGGGCGCTTTAGGCCTCTTCGGCGCCTCGTCGGTACCGCTCGGGCGGGGCGGGGGGAGGGGGGTGTTGGTGAAGTGGTTTTGGGCGGTCAGTGCAGTAGTTGCAATAGGCCTACCCATCTGCTCAGACCTGCAAGCCCTTCCTTCCCTTGCCCCTGTCATGTTTCAGTGGTGAAGCTTCGAGCAGTAACTTAATGACTTACGTCCATCCCTGTTTTTTTTTTTTTCTTTTATTGCATGCTTAAATCATAAATGTGGTAATAAACTTGTGATTAATAAAGGCTGCTGTCTAGTGAAAGGTTTGAGGTAATCCTCGTGGTCACACAGTTGAGAGTAAACACAGATCAGTTGGAAAAGAACAGCTCGGGATGAAAGTTGGTGTTTTGACTTTGTTTCTGAGGTGCATCCTGGCAAAGGAGTAGTGCTGAGCTCTCGTGAAAGAAGCCTGCCAGCTACAGAACAGCTCTTTCTCTCACGTGAACCGCACTGTCTTCTAGAAAGGTGTTACTTAGTTGGATGCCTTGGTGTTCCAGCTTGGTCATTAAGTCCAAGAAAACTCTCAGCTGTTTCTTTTAGTCATTGGGAGGTACAGGCATCCAAGGGGTTGCAGAGTAAAGCCCCTGTGCTGCAGGTCTCTGCTTGACATCATAGTGAAAAAGCTGTAGTGGGGTAGGCCAGTTTTTGTTGCCATTTATTAATTGAAAACGGTTTCCCTTTGATTTAAAATACACTTTGAAATTCTGTGAAAAATAGTGGAAGTAAATAGTTAGGCCAATACTGAGCCTGATATTGTTAAGATACTGCTTCTCCAACTCCACAGTTCAAATCTGAAGGGCACAATTAGTTTCTCTTTTCCCACAGGAGCTGATAGAGGCCTTTATTATCAGCAAGAGCAGCAGGTCAGAACAGTCAGTGCGAGGACTTTCTGACGGTTGCTTAAATAATAGGCATTTATGTCAAATACTGGAAGAATTGTATCTTGTGGAAAAGATAACCTAAGTACTTATGTGGATGACTTGGGAAAGAGAGAAACAACTGCTGTTCCCTAGCTTTCCTTCCCTTGGCTTTGTAAATGTTGATTATTTGTAGCTTTCATATAATTTGAACAGTTCCCATAACTGTGCTACCAAGCACAGGAACGTGTAGGAATGCAGCTACTCAGCTCTGGTGTGGCATGACATGAGTCTTTAATAAAAAATGCTAACGTTAATTAATAATTTAGAAGAAAGTGAAGCTGAATAGTTGTTGAGAGATACTGTAGCTACTAGAAACAGAATGTAGTTCTCCTTTCTGTTTTCTAACACCTGTTCTTATGTTTGTCTGTGATCTTCACCTAACCAACACGCTGTCACTTTGTTTGTTTGGGTTTTTTACATGCTGTGTGGGTAGATAGCATTCTCCTGGGCTGTGACTCCTAGTCATGACTTAGACAGAGGCTTTGCTGGTTAAAGAGCTACCAAATGTAAGCCAGTCAATTTCTTACTCAGTTTCTGAGAAGGCATTAGTTTATTTGCTTGGAGAATCTGAGTTGGTCATAGTAGTGGGGAGTGGGTATTGTGTTCCATCCCTGCTTTCTGGCCTGTTTGTTTTTCCTTGCAGCTTTGGAATGAAGAGGGGCACTCAGGTAGCCTTTCTTGGTTTTGAGGGTTTTCTTTCAATCCACGCTGCAGAAGATTTTAATACAGCGGTCTGGTGCGTTTGCTTTACCGATTTTAGGTATAGCTGTTCAGCATCAAGTTTTCTTACTTTGGAGTGTGGATTTGATGCTTCTGACACTTTCTAACTGCAGTCCAGAGAGCAGGCTGGTGGTCTAAGAAACTTCTGAGAATAATAGGTGTCTGTAAACAGGATGGGCTGGAGCTTTAAAAAATAATTAAAGAATGATGAAGTAAGCCTAATAAGATGTGGTGAATCTTTGCAGAAAGGATTGCAATCCTCAAAACAATAATGCTTTACTATGGTTTCTTCCTTTGAAAAACTGTTTTATTAGTGATTATTCCCAGTGTTTGACTAAGCATTGCAAAGCTGCATTTTCTTTAGCTAAGAGAATAGTTTTTGAAAAACGGTTGAATGCAGGGTAGTAGACTGCAAAGTATACTGTGCTTGGTCCCATCTATCCCATAATTTAAGTTTACTCAGCAAATGAGTCTTGGGTACTCCTAATAGGGGTCTTGTTTATGACTGTTAACTAAGTTTTTAGTCCTGTTTTGCACCAGTGTTTTCTAACGTACTTCATGTTTTGAACCAAATTAAATGGCTAAACTATCACTTTCACACAGGGCAAACTCAGAAGATGAATCTCTTCCAATCCATAACAAGTGCCTTGGACAATGCTTTAGCCAAAGATCCGACTGCAGGTATACTATACTTGTTAGTGTGTTTTGCTTTGTATAAAGTGCATTCTGTTTTGCATATTTGTGTACAATATTAAATGCCTTTCTTGTGGCTTTTAAGGTTTTTTAATAAGATATTTCATAGAATCATATTTCTGCACTTTGATCTCAAACAAAAGTTAAAAATGTGTTGTATTAACAGATTATTAATGGATTATGTGATCTAAGATGCGGTTGTGTCTTCTGTATTAGCTGGATGTGTTTCGCTTGAAAGTTGGTATGGAAAGATACACTGCTTAACATGTTTCTGGTATTACTGATGTGAACTGTACTTAAGGGCATCTTGAATCCCACCAGTAAGTGAAGGATATTTTATAATGTAAATCTTAGGTTTTAATTCCTTCAAATGCTTTCAACTCTCTATGCTCAAAAAGTGGTATTTTTTAGAGACCATCTATTCCTCACACTGTCCATTCTCCTTTCTCTCCTTCCCTGCCCTCCAAAATTCCCTTCCAGCTTTACTGATTTCTGTTCATCATTGTGCACAGGCAATGTAAGATTTTCTAAGCTTTTGCAGGCTGGATAACCTATAACTTTGAAGAAGCTATTTCATCATAGCTTGATTTAAAAGGGTTATCCTAAGCTCTTCTGCACAAAACTATTTACTCCACTTTTAATTCTTATACATAACAGGACGTCTGTTGCTTCTGTTGTCATAACAAAGGCGTGATGATGACCAGATATCTGAAAGAGATGTTTAATGTCATGAACACAGCTGCAAAAGCTGTATGATCTTGTGTAATTTTGTTTTTAGTGTGTTAGTAACTCTTTTTGGCGCTGCTTGAACCACTGCTCAACTTGAAGTCTGACTAATTGTCTAATCTATTAGGACAAATTCCATGTTGTCTGTTCAGTACTATGCCTGTATACATTCCTTCTTAATCTACAGCTGTGTTAAAATCACCTTTATTAAATTAAACTCAGACAACTGAGGTAAATTAGCGCCAAGAACAGATTTTAGTACCATTTCTGTAGAATCAGCCATGTACAAGTAAGTAGAACGTTAGTCCAGCAGAAACCTAAACTCATCTGTAATTTTCAGCCTTTTAGTCGCTCTAAGGTTCCTGTCTTCCTTCTCAGCTTTTCAGGGCTGGATCTTTGCAAATCCCTTTGCAAGACCATGTTGGGGTTCTACAGTCCAGATGTGAATTGTCAATATCGGCCTACTTACTGAATGAATTAGTACTTGCACTAGAAAGCATGTCCTTCATATGCTTTTAGTTGTATGGGAATTGAGCAACTGTTGTTTAAGTAGTGGAAATCCTCATACTTGTGTTGACGACAATTAGAATCTGTCCAGGAACAGAAGGAGTAAATCCACACAAGTTTGCTGATAGCAGCATTAAATGGGAATTTTTTTTTTTAATGCCAGCTGGCTCAAAAGTGAGTAACCATATGGTAATGGAAAGGCGTTACAAAGATTTTAAGTACATAAAAACCCAAGCAACTTAATATTAAAAATGAATTAGAGAGATGATCTGGGGACATACTTCAATCATAAAATCCATGACTGCATTGGTTTTACATTATTATACAAGTTATTTTTCTTTAAGTGGTGTCATTAATATGCTTGTGAGAAGTGTGTTAAACCCTTTTAGTACTTGCAATCAGAAACATATGTAATTTAAATAAAAATAATATTTGAAAGGCAAAGAGGCTAACTCATTTTTTTACATCCTTAAGAATATGGAGAGTATTGAGGAACTTGGGAATTCTCAGAACTGACCCCATTTCGTGCAAGCTGCTATTGGTGGTACTGCTGCACACTTACATGCTTAAAAAAAATTGAAATGAGCAATACTTATTTCTGTGATAAATAACAAAGCTTTTAAGAAAAATTAGACATCATCATTCCATAAATTGAAAGAAAAAAAACCCAGATGAGTTGCTATGAAGCTAAATGTTAAAGGCAATTACTTTTAGTGATAAAACTTTATTGGCTACATAACCTATACCATAAGGATAGTAGTGTTGAATACTGAGAGTTGTCCTGGTTGTTAGATATCCATCTTTTCTGTAGAAGAGTTTGTGTGAAGTCAGTCTTCAGGTACCTGGCAAGTATGTTTGGAGGAGGTTTGAAATTTCATGTTGGAATGGTATTTTGAAGAAAACTTCAATTTGACATTGTTCAAAACAATACATTTACTGAAATCTGTGGATGAAGAATGCTAATGGTTACCAAGGGAAGCGGAACATGTATCTTCAATGACTCTTTAGTGATTGAATATAATTGTTTCTTGGAATTGCTTTTATTAATTTAGATTTAGTTATTGTGATATTATATTTCAGAAAAATATATAGATGGCTTAATGAATAGCTGAATCAGTTTCGTGAATTCTGTTTCGACACATAGTTGTGTTGCTGTACTGATTCCTTATTAACCTTGGTTCTTTATTTGTTGCAGTTAGACTGTGCATGAGAAATGCTTCGTAAAACGAAATGTTAGGTGCTTCTTATGTTAGTGTCTCATATAAAAACCCGTGAAACAAGTTCATTGAAAATAAGATGCATTGGAGTAACATTAGCCACCTCTTACTGTTCTTACTTTTCAGTAGTATTTGGTGAAGATGTGGCCTTTGGTGGAGTCTTCAGGTGTACAGTTGGCTTGCGAGACAAATATGGTAAGTTAACTTTTAAATCTGACATTATTTTCATATTAGCATCTCTGTTCTTTTTTACCCCTTTATGGTTTGTGGGAGAAGAGAAGAATGTGTGGGAGAGAAGCCTTGTAAGTGGACAGCTGTTTTCCTTTCTGTCCGTGGAAACAGAAAACCAGGTGTCCTCAAACCAGGACAATGTGTTACCATTTATGTAAGCTTTCAAAGCTTTCAAAACTTGCTGACGCAACTTCAGGAGTCTTGTATTTCTTCAGCTAACTTTATCAATATAACTTCATTTTTTTTAAATTGCAGTTGGACCAGATTCATCGTTGTGGCCCCATTTAATTACTGTAATAATATTAAAGCCTTTTAGCAACGATACATGGTGATGCTCTTTGGTCCTATCTGTCAAGAACTGTGAAGGAATTACGTTAAAATGGATGTAAACTCTTTGTTAAATATAGTATTTTCTAGCATGCCCTGGAAAGCCAATATAAAAATGATGTGTTATAGCTATGCTTGTGCTTCATCTAGAATGTGACTGGGTTAATTGTTTGGGAGACTCATGTGAAGGCATTCAGAGAAATGGTACAACCTTTGTCTCAAAGAATCTTGGAAGTAGCCTTTATAATTAGACAGGAAAAACAGGTTTGCAAAAGTATACGAGAAATAAGACGGTACTTAATCATCTCATACCTCAGACAGTTGAGGTGAGTTCAGTGGAAGAGGAAAAATAGTTAATTGCAGGAACTTCTTAATTTTTGTGGAAAACTTATTTTTAAAGTAAGTTTTAAATAGGGAGTTTCTTTAAAACTTGCAGGAGCTTTAAAAAACCTGTTGTGTGATCTGTGATTTAAATTAATCCATATATCGCGTTCATTTTGGAAGAAACATAGTTCTGCTATTTCTTGGGGACAGTCTCCTACAGTTCAGAATCAGTGGCTTCTAAGGAATGTCGGGGGAAGGAAAAGACTTACTTTCAAACCGTATGTTGTTGCACAAGTGTATAAGTGTCATATTCACAGTTCTTGATGGATAGAATTTAACCACCTAGTTAGTGATACCTGGCTGGCAAATCTAGAGGACTTTTCAAAGTCTTCACTATTCTTCCAGTTAAGTTTTTTCTTTGGTTGTCCATTTGGTGTGGTTTCATTCAGTACCCATTTTGCTGCGAGAAGTACTGTTGCCAGAATGCTAAAAAGAGTTAGTGTTTCACATATGGCACCCTAGGTAGTACGTAGCTGTTTACAGGACTTGGAAACCGGTTGTGGATGCAGTAACCTGACAGCTTTTAATTGTCTCCCCCACTGGGCTATTAAACGGAAGAAAAGGTTATAAAATGTTAAGTTTCAGCAGCTTACTTTCTTCAAGGCACAAAGATGACTGGGACTACTTGCGAGTGATTAAGTCTATTTCATTTTCCTCATCAGGATGAGATGAGTTATTGCTATCTTGGAGATCACCAATATCCACTTTTTTGGAGCAAACCAAAAACAGAGAGAAGAAACTTTCAAGAAGGTTTAGAAACATAACCATATTTTGTTGTCTTGTTTCTCTGCTTCAATTATTATGTGGATATTTTCTCACTCTCATGTTTGTATGTTAATGTTCAAATAGTTTGTATAGGACTTTTATTAGCAATGATCTTTAGTGCATGTTGAGGTTGAGTCAGAATTCTGTAACTCTGGTGTGATATATTAACTCTAGACTTCATGTGAAAATGAAACCTCTGAGACAACAGTTGGTTGCTGGAAACATGAGCAACAGAAGACTTCATTTGGGAAATAAGCAACAGGAGCAGATGGCTCCATAAGCAACCTTCTTGTTTTTTAGTGAACACCTCTGGTTTAAAAGACAAAAGGAACAAACTTTATATCATTAGAGTGTTGCTTTGAGGGTCATTTGTTGGTTTTCTTCGATGTAAGAAAGTCCTATAATATTGGAATGAAGGAAAGGCACTGTTTAATTCTTGTAGTAGCATTTTATGATGGTGTATTCAGAATTGTCAGTGCTGTTTAAAGACTCCTTGATAGCCCCTGCCCCAGAGTGCAGGGGGTACTGTTGAGATGGGTACTGTTGAGGGAGTGCAAAGAATTATTTACACTGTGTGTGTATGATAAGCAACAGTCACCTCAGCAGCCTAGCTAGAATCACATTTATTTTATGGGTATAAGAACAAAGATTTTTAATGAGATTTTTTGAGAAAGATATGACATGACTTTGGGAATATTTGACAAGAACTCCCTTAAAAGCATAAGAGACAACATAAGAAATTATGAAAGTGCTTATATGAACACAGAACAAGGGGTTATGAAAGCTGGTACTGCCATTTGATCAAAAGAGGTACTGACTTCCTTATAGTGAATAAGAGGACACATTTGGTAAGGAAAAAATAAGTAGTGCTCTTGTTTTGTGTGATTGTAAAATAAAATGGGCGGGTATATAAAGTTCTGGTGAGGTCAAATTAACAAGGTAGGAAACTATGTCTTCACGTTCATTCAGAGCATTTCAAAGATTCTCTTTGTGTGTTACCTGAAAGAGAAATTTGTAAAGCTTTTTGCCATTTTCCTACTTTAAAAAAAAAAGTTTGTCTTACAAGGTCATTGTAGAAAGATCTTCCTGAGATCTGTTTGTCTTGCAGATTCTGAAGTTTAGGTCCAGGTGAGAAGTGAACTGAAAATGTTTATAATGATTGAGACAGAAGGAGGTGGAGAAGGTATGACAGGAAAATAATTAAGAGTTCTTTATGCTGCCGATGAGGTGCCCATAAGTAAATGAAGGCAATATCTGAAATGCAGATATTTGGACAGAAAGAGAAGTCTGAAGACAAGGTGAATTTAGGAGTCATTCACATAATGATAATTCAACTTTGTAAGGCAGATAAGATGACACAGGTAACTTCTTTCTTCACTAATAGTGAGATCTTATAGAAAACAGGCAGTGGCTGAAGAGGGAATGGCAAAGATGAACTAGAGGATATACTGAAAATGTAATTACAACGCTGAGAAGAACCAGGAAAGACTGAAAACACAAAAATTGAAGGAATCCAAAACTTCAAGAGGGGTGTGGATATCAGTGTCTTAGAGATTAAGTAAGTTCTGGATGCAGTGCTTGTTTTATGCAAAGGTTAGAGTCCATGTAAAATAAGGAGGAATTCCAGACAGAACTGACAAACAAGCAACCTTATGGATCTTATGTGTACAAGGAAGATTACATGTACTTCCTGACTCTTCTTTCCCCGTTCCCCTCCTGCATTTGCCATCAACGTAATAATAGGAGATACAAGTGATATAATATGAGTTTGTTTCTATATGTTGATGTAAAATATGAAGGAATGAATATTGTTTTCTCCTCTCCTGGAAAACGGAGTTGTTTTCTTTTCTTTTTTGGTTTTGTTTTTTTTTTCCTGTACATAATGAAAATCACTAGGTGGCAGTCTATGCCTAGAAGTAGTTATTTTGATACAAATTGATAGTTCCTTTTCAAGCACTTTTATAGAGGTCAAGGTCTAAATATCACCTAATATAGTAGGGAGCATTTAGTATGTTAATACTCAGCAGTGCTACTATACAGATGTTGGTTGCTATCCAGACTGTTACTGAAGTCTCTCTGGAGAGAATGAGAAGAGAAGAAATTTGCTTTTAGAATAAATCTGTCATCAAATCTAAAACCTTTTTTTGCCAGGAAAGCCATTTTAAGCCTGAATGTACAGTAATGTTGTGATATAAATGCAGCTAGAGGCTTATGTGAAAGAAGTCAAGCTCATTGACTTTATAAGGAAATAAATCCTGACTTTTGATCAGTTGATTTTATACGCTACAAAGAATTTTGTTTGAAAATGTTTAATTGAGGAATCGTATGTAAACAAGTCAGTATGTGGAAGTTTTTTTTCTACCATAGATATGACTTAGCATAGTATGTTTGTTCCTATACATCTTGTATCAACATCTGAAATTGACAATGCCAGTTTTCTGGCATGGCTTTGCTGCTCGTGATCCTTCTATTGGTGTTAGTATGTTTTGCATGAACTGAATGCTTAGAAATCTATTGCTGTGTAATCCTCTGTCCTAGAAATGAGTAGACTCCCTGAAATTTTTATGTGGAGAGTTCCTTTCAGATAAGGTAAGGGAAATAAGTTTTGTACAGGTTTTTCCTTTGTCCCCTCCCTCTGTTCTTGCACACTGGACAGAGTATTCTTGTTTTATTTCTTATTTCCTTTCCCATCACCCCTGCCAGGTTTTTGATTGTCACCATTTTTTTAATTTTTTTTTTTTCTTTTAAAAAGGGTTGTATGTTATTTTGGTCTTTTGAAGAAAATGCTATCTGAATGAAATAGCTATACATTTCTCTTTAAAACTGCAGATGGATTTGAAACAATGATCTTGGAGTCTGAATACATGTGTCCTATTGCTTTGCCTGAAGCGTGACATAAAGTTGCAGTATATAAAGATCAGTATCATCCACATGACAAAAATACAGAAGAGATCAGAGGTGGGGATTAGATGATAGGAGGTAAAGAAATGGGAGGAAAAACAGAGGATAAGGTGAAAATGGAGAAAGTGGACAGAAGTAAAGACTAAGAAACATGAATAGCAGAAATAGTGATTGACAAGGAAGGCTGCTCAGAAGAATGCCAGAGCAGGTTTTTATTTTTGGTAACTCCCCAAAAAGATCCATCTAGCCTACTCTGGCCAAAAATGACGATTTTGAGATTATATATACACGGGAAGCGAAGTGTGTATGTAATACTTTTATTGAATACTCTTGCTGCCATCCTCCAAACACTTGCAGCTTGAGGGCTTCCTTATCTAGAAGTGCCTCTGTGTAGTCATCAGCCTCAGTAGAGATTTGTCTTTAATACCGTTCTGGTCTACACTTAAAAGAAGGCTCTGATGTGCACTTACTGCCATGTCAAAACTCTATCCTTAGCGAGGGTAAGGATCAAGAGCTTTCTGACTATTTCAAAGCTTGATATTCTGAGAATGTGGAATAGGATCAGTCCTTGCTCATAACTCTGAGAA